GTCATGCTTAATCCTTTCCCACACCTCATACCAACCCAGAGGAAATCTTCATGGGTCTGACTTTAAAAATACACCCAAATCCAGTAGCCCTGCTGCTCCAGTCTCAAGCCACCACCACCCTGGAACTGGATTATTCCAGTAGCCTCCTACCTTAGTGTCTCACTTTTTCCCCTACAGCTTACTTCTGGCACAGCAGATGAAGTATTCTTTCAAAGGACCAAATGTCACAAAGCTCAAAACACATTTCACACAAAAACAAAAGCCAAAATCTCTGTCATGGCTTACAAAGCCTACTCTGTTTGACTTTTAGTTATAACTATTTTCCTATGCTCTCACAGATAACCTGTGTTTCCTGTCTTCTAAACAGACTGTAAGCCCTATGACTGCAAAACTTTGTCTTTTCTATTCCCAAATATATCTGTATCTAAAATGGCACCAAGCAAATAAGTTTTTAGATAAGATTATTAAACAAGTAAATGGAGTCAGCTTTGCTGTCAGTGTTCTTCCCAGCTCTGACTCTTAACCAGCCAGATGTGGGTACCTACACCACCAAAACAGCGCAAGGATCAGCACCGGCACTCAGACCTGGGCCCAGAGCCACAATTCTAAGTACCCCACACACAAACACCAAACACACAGAGGAAGAACACAGGCTGTGGTCAAGTTGGGACTACTTTAGGATAGGCGTGGAGGCAGGAGGATTGTTGTGAGTTCAAGGCCAGCCTGGACTATAAGAGTCTCAAAGACAAAAAACAAAATGAAAGAAATTGGTACTACTTTGTCAAATAGGAGAAACTGTTCAAAAGGAAAGGACAACTACAGAAGGAAAAGGGGAGAGAAAAGAAAAAGGATAAAATGGAAAGAAAACTTTACAAATGAGAAGGGGAGAGGAATGAGGAAAAGAGGAACCAAGATACATCATGTACAGGTACAAATTCCCTATGATGAATGTGATCACTATGTATATCTAAATTGTACCAATAAACTTAATTTTTTAAAAAAATGTATTTTAGTACAAGATCTACAGGGTCTCACTACACAGATTGGATTCATTGTGATCCTCCCGTTTTCAGCCTCCCAAGTGCTGGGATTATAGGTGAGCCACCACGCCCAGCCTCAACTGCCATCTCATCACGCCCCAGGGGCAGGGTTGGCAGGGCTTGCAGGCTGTGGTGCTGGGGATCTAATCCCAGTCCCTTCACCTGTCAGCTGAGCTATCTGGCCGGCCCCAATAAATTTAACTTAAAAAAAAATCCCCTTAAATGCTAAGTCAGTCAATGTCAGAGACAATGAGATTTCCTCAGTAGATACCAACCAAACTCTGCAAAAGTTACTGGAAGCACCCAACCTATTGCCTCATTCAGCAGGTATCACATTTTTTTTTTTTTTTTTTTTTTTTTTTTTGGTCTTTTTGAGATAGGGTCTCACTATGCAGTTCAGGCTGGTCTCAAGCTCACTCCGTAGCTCAGGTTGGTCTTGAACTTGCAATGATCCTCCTGCCTCAGCCTCCCAAGTGCTGGGACCTCAGGTGTGCACCACCATGCCAGCGATGTATTATGCTAAACTGTACCTAATTCCATTCATTTCACCACCATTCAAAATGCACACCTTGACAAGCCTGCCAAATTACAGCAAAGTAACTTAACAGAATGCCCCTTTAATGGTATAGGCCTAGGATCCCATATACTAGTGCAAACAGAAGAGCACAGGGGCTTCTATGTATCCCCCCACACCTTGAGGTATCTCCCTTCTCACACAGAGAGACACTGCGGGTGTTGTGCATAGAGACCTCATATAATTCAAATTTGTCGTGGTATAGGAGGAAGGTTGGCATTCGAAGGACTAGAATTTGGGTTAGGCTTATGGAGTTGTCACAACTAATAGAGATCAGGGCTTCCATTTTGACATCTACACATGGGATTTGTGTTGCTTTACAGGGCAAAGTTTTAGTTGTACACAAGTGTTTCTTTCATCTAGGAGAAATAGGTGACCATGAAAAGAGAAAAGGTTAGGAGCTTGTTTACATAAACTTAAGTGTCTCAGGAGAGTTGGGCAGTTCAGCCTGTGATGCTGACAGCTAATTACTGCTGTACTGGGGTACCAATTTTTTACTTGAATGTTTTCTGATATTTTTTTCAGTTAAGTACACATTGTTTAATATAAATACTTTTAAAAATATATCTAGGGGGCCAGGGAGATGGCTCAGTGGAATAAGGCTTCCCTGGCAAGTGCAAGGGCCTAAGTTCAGTCCCCGGTTCCGCAAATAAATAAAATAAAATAAAATAAAATAAAATAAAATAAAATAAAATAAAATAAAAATATATGTAGGTGTTAAAGGCCACCCCCTCCCATGGTCCTTTAACCGAAAATTGACATGTCCCATGAAAAGAAGGGAGGAAAGTTGCTTGAAATGAGAGCAGTTAAGTGTGAATTTCCTGAGTGACATAGTGTGGAGTCCTAAGGCAAACTGCATATCCCTCAAGGGAGATGATCTAAGGAAACTGCACAGTGGGATGGTTGAGGCTGTGACAATAGGAACAGGAGCCAGGCCCTAAGATGGTGCATTTCAGCATACATACTAGAGAATCTCCACCTGGGGCAGGGAAGGAAAGTGTCCTATTCACCTGTACCAACAGTATTACCCCTGATCTCAATTAGCTGTGACAACTCCCTAAGCCTAACCCAAATTCTAGTCCTTCGAATGCCAACCTTCCTCCTATCCCATGACAAATTTGAATTATATGAGGTCTTTCAAAAACAGAAAAGATAAGATGGGAACAGGAAACGACAGCATGAAATACAATTCAAACACTGGCAAGTCAAACCTTTTGTGTCTAACACAGCACTACCCTAGTTTTGTTTTGGGGAAAACTACTCTCCTAGTCACTGGGGGGCAGACAAATTGGCCTGGCACATGGAAGGAACTCAAAGTATCTGTGGAATGGGAGAATTAAAACCTAGGAACGCACTACCCAGATTGTTCATGAAAACACACAGACCCAGCTCAACTCTGCATGAACCAGCTCTACCTAGAAAGCTGGGTGTGACAAAGGATTAAGAACTAACCACCACAATGACTATAGCTTTTAACAGCACAAGGTTCAGCTCCAGGCATGCAGACCTAGGCCCAGGGCCACAATTCTAAGTGCCATTTCCCCCCTCCTCCCGACAAGGCAAGAACATATTAGAGTCAAATTAGTACCACTTTAGGCCAGGCATGGAGGCATATGCCTACAATTCTAGCACTTGGGAGGCTGAAGCAGCAGAATTGCTAGGAGTTTGAGGCCAGCTTGGGCTTCACAGTGAGTTCAAGGCCAGCCTGAACTGCACAGTAAGACTGCCTCAAAAAACCCAAAACATAACTTACCTTGTACTTGACAATTCCTAAGCCTTCCTCCCTGAGACAAGTTGGCCCCCTCCTCATCTAAAGGTTTTAGTAAATCTAAGACTAGCTTATTTCTATCTTTCCTTATTGACATTAAGAGAAAAGAAGGCCTGCTCAAGTAAGATATACTTACCTTCAGTTTAGTTGGCTCCTGGATAAATCTTTTAACCCCTGGGAGGGTTGTAAATGTGAAAGGAATCATGTGAAAATATAGTACCAAGCATATATGGGGGCCAGTTTCTGATCTACTGCCCTAGCCCACACCCTTGGATTCTCTACCTCAACTCTGCCCAGTGCTCCCTGTCCTAGCAGGTCCTTGTCCTCCCTAATCTCCACATATCTACATTCTCATAAAACTTAAGTTGGTCTAGGCCAGTGATGGCAAACCTTTTAGAGCTTCCAATGATATGAACAGCTGTGCGTGCCACAGCTTTGCCGCCACTGGTCTAGGGTCTCCAATGTGTCAGGGTCCCTCTGGTAACAGGACCTATCTAGGGTACCCCCTCTACCCTCTATTTCCTACTCTTGCTTCCAGGCATCACCTCAACAAGTTAATTGCATTCAACACTCTTCTCTTTCACTGTAAAGCAGCTTTGCTAAAAATTGATGAATGCTGGCACAAGTGCCTGCCTGGCAAGTTCAAGATCCTGAGTTTGACTTCTGTTACCAAAAAAAAAAAAATTGATAAATGCTTCTCTCCTTAATGAAGTTGCAAAATTCATGAGGGAGATGTTTGTTGTCTGTCAAATTACCCCATAGCCTAGCAGAGTACCTGACCAAAAAAACCCTACAATAATTCTAAATAAGCAAAACTTAAATATTCACTAGTTTTCTTTATAGTATTTAAAATGCATAAAAATACACTATCTAAAGGCGAATGGTTGAGTAATGATACATAAAGTGGGAGGACAACCACTGAAAGGATGACAGGAGAGAGGAATGTTCAGACGAGTACTGAGCAAAAAGGGCAGGAAATAACATTCCCTAATTACAGTAAGTTAAACTATGTAAAGGTGAGTGTGCAAACAGAAAGGATATGGGTAGTGTTTCTTCTCTGAAAACCTATACCAATTTTGTAGCACATTTTTTTCTGGGACTACTTTTTATTTGATAAGAAAGTGTTTCTAGGGGCCGGAGAGATAGCTCAGCATTCTAAGCGCCTGCCTGGCAAGTGCAAGAACCCTAGGTTCAGTCTCCAGTACCGCAAGCAGTGCCAGCCTTGGGACCAAGCCAGAATACCTGTAATCCCAGTGCTGGAGAGGCTGAGACAGGAGGATCACTGAGAGTCTGAGCTGTGTAATGAGACCCTGTACCAAATAAGTAAATAAAAAGATTAAAAAAAAAAAAAAAAAAAGTGTTTCTAAAAATTACAAGATATTAGTCCAATGATACAAACACCTCTCAAATACTATCCTCCTCAGTAGACTTCTATACTGTAATTCCTAGCTTGGGCTTAAATAATCCACCTACTTCCTTACTGAGATGTGGAGGCAGAGGGGAAATCTTCGATACCAAGGACTTCTCTTCCCCCCTGCATATCTCCCCAGCTCCCCAGGACTCAAAACACAGAACCCGGTCCAGTTAAGTGTGCATGCAAAACAAAGAGACCACTCACCTAGTTTAAAACACCCAAGATGTTCGGCCCTGAATTTTAAGCAGCACATGTGACCCGGTCCATTCTGGTTTCAAGTTCAAAGGCATCAGGCCGGTCCTGTGGGTTAGCAGCTAACATATCTTTCAAGAGCTGCTTGATCCCCTCAGACATGGAAGTCCTACGTTTCTGAGGGATGTGCAACTCCATCTTTGGGTTTTCTAGCAGCGCCTCACCAACAGGGACGATCTCAGTTCCCTGTTTAATGTAGGTCCCTAGGAGCTCTTTCTTGGTCTCAGAGTCAATGAAAGTGATTCTTTCTATCATTGCCCAGATGATAATGCCCAGGGCAAAGATGTCCGCCTTTGCTGTGTAGTGTCCCTCCCAGACCTCAGGGGCCATGTAGAAGTCAGAACCACAGGCTGAGGACAGCCAGTACTTATTCACATTCACATTTTTGTTGTCTTGATTGCCCTCTTTGCCTCGAGGTGCCAGCCCAGCACAGACTTTGCTCAGTCCAAAGTCTGCCACTTTGAGGATTGGGGTGCCAGAACGCTCTGTGATGAGGATGTTGTCTGGCTTTAGGTCCCTGTGCACGATGTGGTTTTTGTGTAGAAAGGCAATGGCGCTCGTGAGCTGTAGCATGAAGCTTTTGTTGGTGGCTGGGTCTGGCCTCCGAGACAGGACATACTGATTCAGGTCTCCACCTTCACAGAACTCCATGACAAACCAGAGATAGCACGGTTCTTCAGCATAGCCGAGGATCCTTTCTCCTAAATCAAAAGAGGACAGAAAAGAGCCTGAGTGAGATGGACATGTTCACATCATTTTATTTTTTCATACATAATGCAAAATAGAATGACAATGCTGACAACTGCTCCAAGAGAACGTGTAAAACTGGCACTGAGCCTCCAATTCTATACATGCAGATACATTCCTATCAACACAGGACAAGTGAAGGTTATGACGCAGTCATCAGGACTGGTGCAGGCACCTGGGAGTTGGAATCTGAAGGCCTGGGTGCAAACTCAGGTTTACTGCCACCTGATCATTTTGTTTCTTTGTATTTGCTACCATCAGGGAGCGTTATTCCACCACTACTTCCCAAGGCTGTGCAAAAATGAACAAGGTGTAGTACAAGAGAAGGCTGCCAAATAAATGTGCGGTGCTTCTATTATCACCATTACTTCCTGCCAGACAAATGACCTTCTCTTTCTTCTTTCCTGATCTGTTTAAAAATTCTTGTTAGTACACGTGGAATGGCATTTTAACACTATTGCAGAAACATTCTTCAACCCATCACAATCTGATAGACCTTACTTCCCTACAATTATATAATCTACTTGTTTGTATTACTCATAATCAAAGTGACACAGGTAGAACCAGTTTAGGGCAGATGGCCTTTTTAAAAGATCAGTGGTCTCCCCTCTCCTAATCCTCTTTCTAGTCCCTGGCAAACAGGCTGAGGCTCTCTACCTCAAAACACTGCAAAATGAAGCAGCAATCTGAAGACCAAACTCATCTTGATTCTAGAGACAGAAGAAAAAGAGTAAGAAGTGCTTCCTGGTGGTGCAGTTAGAAAGGAAAAGATTTAAAAACCATCAAATTTCTTCTGCAAGGGTATTGAGAAAATAGTAAAACTTCTAAACTTCTACTGGGACAGTGAAGGGTGGGGAATGATGATTCTTTTATATACTAAGTTGGTATGGCAACTGAAGGAAAAACAAAAAGTCTGCCAAATAGTATCTTAAGTTAGTGTGTAGGGTGGGAGTAGATGGGACCCCTGGACTGAGAGCCTGCTGAGGAAGCGAGCTGAGCCTGAGCAGTGGAGAGGAAAACACCACATAGGAATAATTCTAGGGATCTGATGACGTGTCATCAGTAAACGTAACTGAGTGAAAACTGGATAACACAGCCATTTGTCCCACAGAGAAATGTGTTTCCCTGGGCAGGCTGGACTCTTAGGCTTACTTCCTGAGAAGCCAGAGGATATATTTTCATCAAGAGCCGCCATCCACCCACCAGAAGATGAAAGAGGTACAGTTGAAGGAAGAGGCACACAGAGTATCAGCCCCGTACCAAAGGCCACTGAGGACGTGGACTGTGCCTGGCCCTTGGCACATTTCTACATCGAAGTAGGCCAGGCTGAAGAAAGAGAAGCACAGAGCAAGAAACAAAGAATCAGGGTGTAGATCCCAGCTCTATCTACTGGATTCTAGTTCAGAGGAAAACATGATGGAAGATGTCTAGAACCCTGGGGGAGTCCCTTATTGGAGTGGCTGTCATCCACCAAATTTGAGAATGACATCTATGCCATATGATTACTGTGAATTAACTTAAAAACTTAAAATACATTTCACAAAATAGTACAAGCACTTGAAGAGTTAAGTACTGGCCATTACTAACTTCGTTTCCACAAGACTCCAACCAGGTTCTTAGAAGTCACAGATTTCAATAATCCCAGTGTTAAGCATAAAGTTCTCACATGGGATGCAAAAGACAAAACTTACATCAGAACAAGGATGATTCCACAGAAGACATCAAACTTAAGTGGCAAAAGCAAAACTCTACATAGGCCTACAAAGCCCTATCTCTTGAAAAGTTTGTAGACAAATCTTGGAAACAACTCAAGTTCACCATCAACTGGTGAATGGATAAATGTGCTTTTTTATACAATGGAGTACTACTCTGCCATAAAGGATATACTACAGACATTTCTAGGAAAATAGATGTACCCTGAATACTCTTTAAGTGAAATGAATCAGGCAAAAAAATGTGTGGATAATGCATTGCTTCCATGGTGTGAGAATCTGAAAGTGTCTACTTTTTTTTTTAAATATTGGGATGCAAACTCAGGACCTCATGCTTGCCAGGCAGGTACTGTGTCACTGAGCTATCTCTCCAGTCCTGAAAGTATAAACAAACATCAAAATGTATTTTGACATGGGAGAAAAATGTTCAAGTGGGAAGAGGAACAAGAGAGAAGATAGAGGGACAAAGGAAAGAAGGGAATATATATATATATATATATATATATTTAGAAAATAAAGAAAACATGGCAACAAAGCTTTATAAATAGGGAGGGGAAGAGGGGTTACAGGGAAGGTAGGCAATGGGAAAAACACAAGTTATATTAGGTACATAAATTCTTTTTTTTGCGGAACTGGGGATTGAACTCAGGCCCTTGCGCTTGCCAGGGAAGCACTTATTCCACTGAGCCATCTCCCCAGTCCCCATAAATGCTTTGTGATCATGTGTATCTAAAATATACTAATAAAATCTAATGTTAAAGAAAACACAGCAAGGTGTGGTGGTGCACACCTGTAATCACAGCACTCAGGAAGTTGAGACAAGACTGTTGTGAAGTCAGACCAGCCTGGGCTAAAAGTGAATTCAAGGCCAGCTGAATTGCATAGTGAAACCCTGTCTCAAAACGACAAAAAAATAAAAGAAAAAAATGTGCCAAAGTTGATAACTATGGCCCCCAAATTAGCCTTCACAGCCAAATTCTTAATGCATATCATCTTCAGCCCAGCTTGAGAACTACCCTACTCTAAACCTGTCCAATTTCCCAGGTATAGGCCACCTAAGGTCCCAGTCGTAAAATTTCTATTTTAGTCTATACTGTTGTATCAACTATTCTGGTTCACAAACCATAGTGTGACTCTTGCATTTCACCATGAGAAAGACCAGCACACATTTTGCAAATGTTGCAGGAGAGGGAGATTTCTCAGTACTCAGCCCTGGAGTTGCCTGAAGACATTAGGAAGTACACTAAGTCTAGGAAGATGGGAAGGGAAAACGCCAACCAGTGGTCATCACTAAACAATAGCTCCCAAATGGCCGCAGTCTCAAAGCACCACAGCAATCTCTCAGTCAGAGCAGAGCCAGTGATGAACAGAGTTCTAGCTTTGGGCCATTTCACCAAAGGTCCAGTGGGTTCCTCCCGCTTTTTGGCTATAGAGTGGTACCTCAGTTCATGAACTCATTTCTCTCTAGGATTCTGGATGTTAACCAAACTGGGGAAGACCTAAATCAAATTTTCCCTCAACAAGTTAACATTGAACCTAACCATTAAATTTTTCTGCTTATTTTTAAATATTTATTTATTTATTTATTTATTGTGAAACTGGGGGCTGAACTCAGGCCCTTGTGCTTGCCAGGCAAGCGCTTATTCTACTGAGCCATCTCCCCTGGCCCCTTTTTAGACAAGGTCTTACTACATACCTCAGGCTGGCCTTGAACTCAAGGAGATCCTCTAGCCTTAGTCTCCTGTGTGCTGGGATTATAGGTGTGAACCACCACACCCAGCTGTAATCACCAAATTTAATTTGGTTCTTGTCCAATGCAGTTTGGGACCAGAATCAGGAAAAGAATCAAGTTTGTGAACCCAGGCACCACTGTATAATTGGAAGAGATATGTAACAACTAGAATCCCCACATTGCAAATTGGCAGAAACAAACAGGTTTTTATAGTATCTTTTTATAGCATAATCTGATGGATTTAGAAGATTATTACATTATAAGAGTTAAAAATTCAGCTTTCTTCAGAGAACTGGCAGTATTACTTAGAGGTGACAAAAACTTGACGGAATGAACCTGAGAGCTCAGTGCATACTCTTTAACAGGTGGGAAGCCTCTCAAGTGAGAAAGTATTCTGCCTGAGAACAGGTACTAGGTGGGACCTGGGCCTCCACAGCCAAGTCCTACTGCTCCGGTTTACACACACTGAAGGCTGGCAGGCACACTCTGGGATAGCCTACTACTTTCCCTCACATCTGGTAACAGCTGACCACAACGTACATTCTGTACTTCAAAACATCCTATGCCATCTTTCACAAGGAGACAGAAAACACTAAAACAAACACCCTGACTGTATAACAAACGAAGCAGGTATCTCACATCATCAGTATTCATGGTTAAATAAGGAGTGAAATCTTCCAATGAAATGTGCTCTGCTTTACTGAGAGAGGTCAGTAGGCTCTGCTACTCCTGGAAAGGGACACAAAATACCCTAATTTCATAAACCTATTCCTGACCCCCTTTCTAGATGTTGAGGAATCTAGCTTCTAGTTCACTGCATTCAAGTATTTCCTGAGCACATGTAGCTTGTCCCAGGTCCCAAAGGTGAGATACACTAAGAAGCAAAAGCTTCTATTTACAAGAAGCAGAATGATTATAGCCACAAGACTTGGGAAGAGGGTCTAGTTCTCCCTAAGTAGGGGACTGAAGGGGAGAGAAAGGCAATATGAGGATCACAAGAGGCCATTCAGCTGCATTTTGAAGATGAAGACATATAGTGCACTAGGGTCCCCAGGAGCCCAGGGGATCACAGAACAGATACAGGGAATAGGCAGAGTGAGGCTGGAGAAGGCCTGGGGCAGACTAAAAAATTGGAAGTACTTCCAAGTTTGTCATCTATTTTAGAAAGCTATTTGCTCATTGAATCTAAAAAAAAATAATTTAGTTTAGATACACCAATGATATACACCTTACAGACTGCTGCTGGTACTATGACCTACAATAAATCAACTTTGGATTTCAGTGATACTAACATGTGAAAGAATGTATCTTACACAAGCAATGCAACAAGTTCTCTCTAGAGGTAGAAGCAACTGCAGAGAAGACAGATGAGCAGCAGACAGTTTCATCAAGAGATCTGAAATCAGAAGTGAGGGTGGGTAAGGGGAGAGGCAATGCAGGGACCAGCAGTAGGACATTTAGGATTAACAGAACTTACAACTTGTGTGTTGAAAGGAAGAATCCAGAGTAC